ACGATTAAGAGCTCGATATCTTCCTTATCTTCATTACAAGTGATCCAAGTGGCTTGTACAGAAACTCGAAGCTGAATGCCGTCTTCCAATGAATGGCAATGCATCGGCTTTAATCAGCTCCTGGAAACCTGTGCATGCCAGACGACATTATTCAAATACACGGCAGAGTGGGCTACTGGGCTCTACGCATAGCGTCAGCGTGAACTTGGCCTCTTCAATTGCTTTTGTCTTAACTTTGTTGGCTAACTCTTAAGTAGATTAATTAACAAGATGAAGCACATACGTTGGTCGCAGGTACATATGTACACATACATGTGTACTTGGTCGCAAGTACACGTTTATCGTAGGTACAAATGCACATACCTATGTACTTGGTCGTGAGTACACGTTGGTTGCAAGTATATATGTACATACGCAAGTACATACATACCAAGCTTTGCTCATTATCAAGTGTATAGATGAAATTTTGCCTTTTGCTTCAACTTGGCTCCTGTTTTTATATCGCATACTCGTCATTACGTAATGGCGTCGATAATTTTTCTGCGTGGTCTTATGGATATTTTGAACACTTTCAAAACATTTTCAATAGAGTAAATTATAATCATCCGGAGATCACGCTCATAGAAAAATTATATATGAGCCAAAGCTGAAAAATTCATGTGTCACTCGAGAGATTTAGGACCAAACTGTGTGTATGAACGAAGAAATTGCAATTGAAATGTGATGTTGAAAATGTTCGGCAGAAAACATTACCGCTGGGGAAGATGAACCTCTGGCGAGAGTTTCACAAGAAAACTTCGACTTCCCACTCGAAATCAAGATGGAACGCACTGGGTAAAAACTCTTCACGAGTTCGGTGTTTAATTCTTAGAAATTGATTTTTTTTCTCATAATGCTCCTCAATAATTAAACTCTGAATTTGTGACGAAGAAACTTGACCTAGCAATAAAATCTCTTCTCTTAGGAGAACTAAAACGTCGGGCCGGGCAAGTGAAGAACCTAGCGCGCTGGTGAGCTTCGCCTGCTAAAGAAATAGTTTTTTTTTAATATCTGTCTTTCTGATATAGAAATATTCCTCAATCATTCTCTATGATAATCGATTTTATTTATAGTCTGTTAAAACAGCTACAAGAATAGACCGTTTCTAAGCGACAACATAACTCTATCAAAGTCATCGTTCAGAGCCTATTCCTGCACTGGATTGTAAAAAATAAGCTTTTATACTCATCTTATATCTACGTTATATCATGCAACCAAGTAATTAAATTACCACAAAAAATAGGATTGTTTATTCGGAAAAGACAGTGCTATGCATGTTTAGGTTGATCTGTGATGCAATATTTCTCGACTTTTCCTTACCTAGCCAATGTTCGGAAGAATAAAGAAAAAGAAGATTTGAATTTATTAGACTCGCGGGACTCAACTCGATGATGCAGGAGAAATTAAAAGAATTGCAAGGAGTGTTATTTAATTTCAATTTTAAGTCAGAAAATAAACGTAGAGCCTGCATGGTGAACTTTGATTTTTGTGTCTTTCGTTTACTTCTGTAATGATCTAAGGAAAATGAATCATTATTAAGACTATTTAACTTTGGCTATTGATTTTTACTATTTCACACCAAGCTATATATAATTCAATAAAGAGAAAAATCCTGTCAAATGTACCGATTATAACGCAAATAATGTGCTTCTTTAAACGATATTCTGATCACAAAATCCTCGGTGGCATGGCAATGGCAACCAATGGTCATTCACGTCCACTGCAGCTTATTTCTGGTAATTGACGATCATTGCCGTCGTGTACAGTTCCCTGGCATCTATTTATGCTGTTCTCATGATCACCTCGGCTGCGAGATACCACTAATTCAGATCAACTCTGAACCTAAACTGCGCAATGTGCGTCATTTCGGTAATCCGGGTTTTGAGTTGCTGCGTTGTGCATGGAGGTTCTGTGAGTCGTGAAGATCTCTGGCTTATTCGATTGGAGCAAAATAAACCAATCAAAAGGCGGGTGCTGTTGCCTGAGTGCTTACTGGACTTCCTTATGGCTAAAGAACTTGCTATAAACATGATATACTCGCTGGCTTTCCATTACTGTCGAAAGGTAGGAAGACGAAAAAATTGCTTTGGTGTTTCTACAAGCCTCATTTTAACGGGTGCTCAATTAATTCACAGGATTGATTTAGCCTAAAAAATCATGTAGAATTCCATATTTATAATTTAAAACTTTAAATTCTCCCCAATTGTCTAGCCAACTCTGGTTATAACATGAAAATCTTTTTTCACTCTTTGGTCTTAGCACCGAATATTTCATTAACTTTAATTTAGCTTCCAAATGTGCTCCCGTCTAAATTGAAATGTTTCAAAAGAAGCTAACAAAATATCCTCCCGAATTTATTCTTGAGGTAATATTTAATCATAAACATATGCATGAGAATTTGTCTTGATCGCTCAGCATGCCACTCTACAGGTGGCCAAGTTTGTCTTTTCATGATCTGCAAAGATTTTCTAACATAACTATTCTTGTTTGGGTCAATCTGTGATGCAATAATATTTCAACATTTTATAGTTTATATTATATTATTATAGTTTACAGTATCATTATATCGACATTCAACATATTGTCCGTATTTCGTGATATGATTTTAGTTCAGAAGAACGCTAATTTTTCAAGCGCCCTACAAAAATACGGCTGATCACCTATATGATTTTCGTCCAGTGAAGCAAAATTATGGTGCAAAGAATGTAGTTATCTACACACAGATCATCAATATTTTTTATTGCGATATTTGTAATAGATTGATTAGCTGGCAGTGAAGCCCTTAGCACAAATGTTGAAACTATCAGGCAATTTACCGCAGTAGTTTATCTCCATTATGAAGATGAACGGAGCAGAGAAGTCATATTAAAGACCGCATTTCGTTTGCCATCATCCGGAGGGCAGAGACTGACTGCACTTGCCAAACTTCCCTCTCATTTATATACATATTCGCTACCGGGAATTCCTGACGTGAAGCCAGAGCGGAGGCTATCTCATTCGTCTCGCTCTGACTCAAGACACATTAGAAATGTCAAGATAAAAGAAGTTTCTTGATTTTCAAAGAATATTAGTGTATTGTTTGGACTTCAATCATAGTCAAATTTCAGTTTTTGCACTGATGAGTAGAGACAAACGATGTAATTGTTAATTTCCCAGAAATGAATGTGAATTAAATATAATATATAATATAACAACTATTATGTATAAAAATCATAATATCTGTAATGATTTCTTGTAGAGTCTCGTTTAAAATATTTATCTTCTTATAATCCCGGTAAATGTCTTTTTTGCTTATTAAAAAAACTATTAAAAAATTTTTATTCTGTATTAATCAGCAATAAATTTCCTAGTATATATTACGAAACAATTGTTAAAGGTGAAAACAATCATTATTATTAAATAAAATTCTTCCTTTAAATTTTGAGAGTTAGTCGAGGTTATTCTAAGTTCTTCCTATCATACAATGAACACGTTATGATTAAAGAAGCTATCTCCTAATATGCAGGGCAAAAGACGGTTATTACTCTAGAACATCAATGCAAAAGCGTACTCTCATTAAGGGCTTATGGGTTCGCCATTTCCAATCATAGTTTTTTATGCATCAGTAATGGAGGGAGACATTTCAGCAAGGCAGGCTTGATTTTCCAGCGTGTAATTTCGCTTCAGAATATTTCAAATTTAGAAATGTCTTCAATCATCAAAGCGGGTTAAGTTAATTGAATGATAATAAGTGATTTTGTGAACAAATATTGTATTTTCAGTGTTACTTACTCTCAAGATGACTGCGTACCGCGTACAGATGAGAATCGTTGAATAATCTCGACGAAGAGAAGTAAAAGATAAGTAGCTTCTTCATTGAAGAGTTTCTTTTTAGTTTTTTTTCCGGGATGATGCCATTTTTAATGACCCTCAAAGTAGTCAATTTGTTCTAAAAGCAGATCTCCATGTAATGACAATGCCAGGCTGATGTTCTTGAGTAATGAAGCTAAATAAAAACCTCTCGCATATCGCGCTCTTTCATGTTTTTTGTTAGCTTGGCAAAGGCATGGTTCAGATTTTTTTTGGTGTCAAATTCTGTCTGATTCATGTTTTGGGTATCAAAGAAAGATCTTATGAATCTGGTGTCAGTCTATCTCGTTTACACGTCCTTGCTGTGTTTATATCAGGAAAAAATATCTTTAGAAATGGTTGATTCCAGTTATTCGAGGGAAAATAGAATTTAAAACTGCCTAAAAAATATGCCTGGAAAATTTATTGCTGTAATAATATTAAAGAAATTGCTTATGTGTCGGCCGAATTACTAAATCTGTAAATAAAATGAACATGGATTATGTTTCGGGCTTTGAGCTACCTGGACTACAGCCAGTTGGCTACTGCAGCTGTTCTTTAACACGTTCTTTATTCAGAAAAAAATGTCTACTTCGCACTCAACTATTTGGAAAAAATACCATGGATGATTCTCTCAGCAACTCGAATTCTCTCAGTGCATACTCAACATAGTAAAATTTTGCTTACACGACCATCCATTCCGAGCGCTAACAGAAAACTTTTCGGGTGAAATTCAGCAGGAGTGTTTCATTTGTCAACGCATTCAGGAGAGCGGGCAGATTTTTCGTCAATTTACTGCGCGTCTTGTTAGTGAGAAGCTGTGGAGTCTTTGGTGTTCAATCATTTTTAGGTTCCGAACGAAGATCAAACAAAGTGACGACTTGTTCTAACCGTGAAATTGTTCGTTCAAAGTTTCTGCCTATTTCAGGGTAATATGAAAAGAGTTTAATTTTTATCATTTTGTCTTTTCATTGCCAGAAATACGGATAATTATGAGGTTTGGTTCATTTTGAAACTTAAAAATTATAATGTAATTAAAAAATTATTATTCGTAATTTCAGTTAACTAATGCATGAGCAGGATATACAAAAAATTCGTGACATTAATCATTTTATTCATATTTTGACGTAGTGTTTGGTATACTTGAACAGACGATCAGAAAAAAAATTTAAAAACCCATTACGTATATATGCCGAAAATTGTTTGACAAGAAAGATTAACGGAAAACCCCTGTATTACGGATACAAATCACCTTAGATTCTTCACTAATTCAAACCATCCTCTATCTGTTAATGATTTTATTGAACTTTTGACCTATTCTTGGCGTTGAAATAATCAAGAAAAATTTATACCCTCATACGGAAAAATTTCGAGAGCACGATTCCCGATCGTTCAGCTGCTGCTCTCGACTAAGAGCATTCTAAAACCTTAACACAAATACCTGAACATGTAACTTGCAAAAATAGGCTAACAATTAGGTCGTTTAGTACAGCAAATTACTTCTTAAAATATTTACAACACTAATTATGAGACACTTTAATATCTGAGGCAGGACTTTTCATATGAACCCTGTAATTATATAACACATGTACAGTTTAAATAATAGTTTTATATTACAATCACAATGAAAATATGTCTTGGAGCTTCATTGACAATTCGCAATTGCAGTCCAAAGTTTAAATTACGTTTCGAGCTCAGGTGCTTGAGTTTTGCTGCACATCTCCGAGTTGCATTTGAGGCTCCCGGCAATTGACGGCCGTCAGTTGGCCGAGGTCGGTAGCGATCAAGAATTAAAATGGCTTCCAGTTGAATGTTTCTCGGGGGCACGGCGCTCCAATTAAGCTCCCGCATGCTAGGAGTATTTGTATTCCGAGTCGGCCTGCCCTTCAATATTGCCAAAAGCCGAAACTGACAAGAACATGTTAGGGTACTGCCAACCCAAGAGCTGTATTTTACATTAACTGGCGGCTTGCGTTCGCGGGTGAAACAAGATCGCATTGATGTCGCAATAAAACGAAGAAATGAGACTGCGATCATTGCAACGTTCACAATTTTGGGCAAAAGAAAGTGTTTCAACTGGGACGTGGCTGACAAGAATGGGTATACAAAGGAGAGCTGCATGCTGACAAGAGGAGCGGTGAGCAGTAGAAGAAGCAATACAGGCGCACTGGTCTGGTGAAGGTTGGTGCTCGCGTCGTGACGCATGGCGGCGGGCTCCTTCTCTGTGGGCCGTGAAGTGTACAAAGACATGAGTGCAACTCCGCTGCTCTTCAACTCATATATCATGTAATTAAGGGCAGTAGATTAAGAGGCTGGACTGCCAAAATTGATAGTTTTCTGCGAAGTAATTGAACTCGCCTAAGAGAAACCTCACACTCATTTCTTGAAGCTAGATATATAAAAATACAATTTGATCATTTTTGAAAACAATTAGTAAAAACGTAGATATAACTTTAATAATTTCTAACCATGCAAGACATAGACGGAGACAGAAGCAGCTGGTAGGTCGCGTGGATGACACGTGTAGTTTCCAGCGTCCCTGGCATCGACGCGCTGCAGGGACAGTCGAGTGCTGGCTCTTGCGCCTTCATGGCTCATGAAGAGACTTAAACCACCTCTGAATGGGAAAAAATGTCATTATATTCGTTGCTTTTTAACGGACTATTGTACGTCTTGCCGAAATAATCCCAGAAGAAAGATATTCAGCAGCAATCATAATAAATTTATATCATGTGTCAGTGAGAGTGGTATCTCTGCAGAAACATTCCAGTCGGGTATTTTTATATTATACTTAGACGATTTACATGCGACAACGAAACTGTTAAATTAATTTCGATTTGCTGGAACAATCATCGGAGCCAACATTATGATATCAGTAACATGCCGGTGAACTCATCGTTGCTGGTGGAAGACAGCCATTCCTCATATATTTTTAGTTGGCGAGTGAAATGAATACCCCCGCGTAAATCATGTTCCCTCGTGTATTTACATTTAAGACGGCAAATGGAAAAAATGCTGATTTTCTAGAACGGAAATTTTATAATGAATTGAAATCAAGCTTCCTTTAATTAGCTATTCATTTGCCACTGTGAAAATGAGTCATGTTAGCAGAGATGGATAAATCACGGGATAGATGTCTAAATGGATAAATGCTCACAAAATATCTAATTTTTCTATGCAATAATGTTCTTAAAATGAGGGAAAGTGCATGGAAGTGTTTTTAAATTGTATCGAATAGGGAGTTAAACTTTTTGAAAAATGAGTGTAGGTAACATTCATAAATAAATTATTCAACAGCTAATTTTCAATGTACTCAATGCCTAATATATTGATATATTGCCAAGATTCCTGCCACCTTGTTAGGCAATAAACAGGAAGGTGTAATCCGAGACATAAGAAGTGGTTTCAAAGGAATCGAAAACATGACAGTCCTTTTCATAGAAGGATTTCAGTGATGTATATGTGTAAAGAATTTGACTGAATATACTACTCCCGTATACATAAGGTTGGGACCTTTTAGGTAGGAACAGAGTTAATGAGCTCAGACAAAATTCATTTTGAACCAAACTTGACCGAGATTGTTCAGCAATTTGGTATGTTATCATTTACTTATGTTATGATCCTTTTATTGCTTGTTAACCTTGGCTATTTTCTCTATATTGTTTATAATCTCGAATAACCTCAATAGGTGTTCAAATTGTTCATTCTTTGTTTTCAGAAACCGTTACAATCCACAACGACTTTTCATTCCGAACAATCCCCCGAACAAAGAGCCACATTCTTTACAATATTTTCTAAGTTCTTTTAATTTTATATTAAATATTTTATGATGATATACTGAAATCTCATGAGGGTCAGGACATAGCAATCAAAACGCGTTTTTTGCTCGTGATAAAAAGAAATGTTTTATTATAATTGCATAAGTAAAAAAATAATAAAAAACGTTTTAGTATGTATATTATGTATGAAATATTCATAACTTCTTTTCTAAATTAAAACATTTGTTTTCTACTATGTAATCTTCGCATTCATAACCTGAATACGTTTTGACTGATATCAGTGTAAATTACTGTTAATACTAAATTGCTTCCATATACATTCTCCGGAATGAAATTTGGTTTGGAGAAACAGGCAACAAAAGCAATTATATTTAGTTTTATGCATTACGACGATGACTGACATTCTTATGGTATGAGCCTGAACGTGCGTACAGTTCTTGCGCGTGTCCAAAATTAACCTCAAGGCAGAAAATAATTGTTTTCTGGAAAGTTTTCTTATTCCAAAGGATCCTAGCCTGGCCTTGTGTTTACATAAACTTTTTCATAATTTACGTAAACTCCCAAGTGCTAGGCTGGCGTAAAACCTCTCATAATAATTCAAGCGCGTATAGTGAAGAGCCTCCCAAAATTCTTTGAGATGAATTTTTCACTTGACTGGTCAGGCGAAACGAAAACGGATGGCAGCATCTGAACGTCGCTCGCATTCTTGAGAGGTTGCTGGTTGCGCCGGTCAAACATTGTAGGAATGTTTGTTAGAAGTCTGAAGTGCGATGTTCAATTTTGTATCATCTGTCTTCATATCACTGTATGACCTTGAAGTTCAAGCTGCTATGAAGGACTCGCGTTTTCTGAGGAATTAATTTAGAAAAGTCTAGATCATGGTCAGTAAAAAACTTCCTTTACTTCTCCGCATCGCGATGTCATCAGGTAGCGTGAAATATGAACATTAATTATCATTTCTCCGTTTTCATGAGATTGCCTTGCACTTTCAGTAAATTTTCACTGTCGTTCAAGCCCGAAAAACTCGCTGCTTTTATTAATACATTCATTCGGTTCATGATTGCGATCACATAATGAGCACTATGCATACACGCCTTCGAAATTTATTTGGTTGAGGAAAAAAATTATTCAAATTTTCCACTTTTTACTTGACTTTACTTGAATTTTTTTCAGTGGCAAAATTTATTTAGGTAAAATTTAATGAACGTTGAGCAAACATGATTTTTGCAAACTTTCTATTGCTTTAAAGTCGAAATCCTTTTGTGAAAATCGCAAATGATGCGCGACCTGAGTCGAATTTAAGTAAATGTGTTCCCTTTCGGCATTGGAATGTGGTATACGTGGGCGGGAGAGCTTGAATAGAATTGTTCCACGTTGTTAACTCCTCAGTCGCGGAAATTGTCCATTCTGTGCAGGACCGGATTTGAATTCGGAAGCATTATTTAGTGGAGTTGTTAATAAACGCAATGCCTACAAACATGACGCTTATTAGTTGACGTTTTTTCAATTAATTATTTAAGGTAAAAGAACCTTTCCTGGCTTAACCTAACCTTAGTAAAATAGACATTTTGTCACACAATATGCCGAAAATGTCGCGCTATTGTCGAAAGTATGAGCAACGTTTTGATCGAACAATTCAGTGACACGGTTTTCGGGAACTGTTAAGGAACGGGTCGCACAATAACCATACATATCAATAATATATATTACCATTTATATATAGTATAGTACTTAATTGGGATAACATGGGTTAGTTCCATGCATATAACAAACAAATATTCAGACAGTAGAAGCCCTATCATCCATATAATCAAAGACAGAACCAGTTCTTTTGCCAAAAATTGCCATCATATTTTTCGGGTAGTTTTAGACTCTGACGTCGTAACTCCTCCATTTTCCGGAAGTTTGTGTGCCCGCTTACTTGCCGCGAGTGCTGGCGCTGCAATGCTGGAAGCTTTTAGGCTTTCCTTGAGGATTGGCAGGCGGCCTGATCGTACGACCGATACAGATTGTGGCGATTGTGTAACAATCTATTTAGGAAGGGTCAACTGATGTTGGATGATCGTTCTCTTGGTCAAGCTGAAATTTCATTCCATAGATTAATAAAAAATTGTTTTTATTAATAATCATAATATCTTAGGTGGTGAACTNAAGCGAATGCTGAAAACGCGTTCACAATATTCTCACCAACAACGTGAAGCCTGAAACGGAGGAATAGCTTAATGGGGAAATTAAAATAGAGCAAACGAAAATAAGGCGAGGGATGAAAACATTTTCACAAAATACTCACCGACGACGTGAAGCCTGACAGGGTGGAATATCTTTGGCCTGGTGTTGACCTGACACTGGTAGACTCCTTCGTCCGCTTGTGTGACGTCACTTAAGTGAAGATCCCATACGGCGGCTGCACCTTTATTGTAGCCTTCCACCTGACCGACGTGTGCAGAAAAAGTTGAGCTAACTTTTGCCCGGGCAATTCATGTAACTTTGTAACTTTGTGAAAAGTTGTATGGGTTTACGGAGCCCAGCGTTTACTAGACTAAAGTGGAGTTCTATGCTAAGTTTCCGAAGGAAAAGTTTGGCCTAGCTTGGCAATAAGAAATTTTCCCTTATGGATGGATTATTAAAAATTGAGATATTAAAGGCCTCAGGCATTTACTAAAAATTCATTTACTAAAAATTTAAACAGTAAAGACCTGAGGCTGCTGCATAGATATTTAAATTAAAAATTAATAATTGCTCTGCGTTACACCGTGTTGACTTGTTTCCAGATTTTCGAACCACATTTGTTACGGAATTCTACGATAAAGATGTCGGCAATGAGAAATATTGTTTGTCGTTACTACTGTTCCAACTTACGGAGAACCGTTTGTCGGTGGTGAACGTGATGGCATTAGTGGTGAGAACCTGAAGATCGTTTTGACGAATCCATGAAACCTGGGATGAAAAAAAATTTATGAGCACCACATTGAGATTATAAGGCGATTAGAACAGCGAGAGAAAAGAATATCATATAATTTTTCATTATTTATCTGAAGTAGAAAATAGTGCTCCAAATATAAAAAGATGGCAACTATGAGAAAAAGTATTTGCAAATTTCTTCAGTTTATTGTTTTATTAGGCTGACATGAAAACTTAACTGATGATCATTGCCCTGACAATTTCAATTTTCAATAATCAAATCCCTTACAATGAGCAACGCGAGCATCATGATTTACTTGGCAGCCATGTCAGGATTAACGACGTGCCTCCTGAGTATCAGTAACAGCTTGATATTTTTACTCACAGGTCTGCCGCTGAGGAATGGCAACCCATCACGGTCCGCAGCGTCACTGACACGTTGATATTACTCACAGATCTGCCCGGAGGTAGGTGATCATCCATGGCCCGGAACATCACGGTCACGTTGTCATGACTCACAGATCTGCCCCTGAGGTTGGCAACCCTGCACAGCCCGGAACATCACGGTCACGTTTTATGACTCACAGATCTGCCCCTGAGATTAGCAACCCTGCACGGCAGGACGGCACGGCCCCTGAGCGTCACGGTCACGTTGGTGCTGAGGTCAGGCAAGAACTCCGGACCGCGTGACCCCGGGAACTGTGCGGCGGTCGCCCATCTGCTGTGCTCCCAGTCCGTTTCTTCCTTCCAGTCGCCTGCTGCGAGGGACACTGAAACTATAACTTATCAACTTCTAGATCATTGTATAAATTGGCGTTTATGAAAGTTCGTGACTTCAATTTGGAGGTGATTTCTTCTATTGTTGACGCCTCGTACATTGTTCACTTCTCCTCACTTCTTATCTAGTCAATGTTTTCATTAATGAAGTGAGGCTCCTCAAATGACGACGCTTTGTAAATCACATTAACCCACTCTTCCGCCTAAAAAGTATTTCTATTTTCTTATGACTTACTATACTTGAGTCTATTTCTCAATTAATGACCTGTTGTGAATATTATTTCATTACCGTTCTACCTAACTATTCTCCGCAAATATTCATGTGTTCTTTCTTAATTAATGGTGTCTAGTAAAATTCATCATATCGCTTCATTACCTTATAAGTCTATGCATTCATTAATGAGGTGCACCCGCTATACTCAATGACTTACCGCATGAATATCATTACCGCAATATTCAAACAGACAAGTCATTGCATTTAAAGTTGATTTAATACTCAATTAATGAAGCCCATATAATTTCACCACTTTATCTATGTTATAATTTATAGTAATATTATTTGCTTAAAAGTGTTTGCTGTCTCTTACAGAGTGATTCATGGAATTTTCCAGATTTAAAAACTCAATAAAAAAGTACTAGTATAAATACCATTACAGTATACATTTTGTTGAAAAAGACATTACCTGAATTTTTCTCACTTAGTTTTAAAGATGACATCGGACAAAATTAATAACGGACAATGCATTGTCAATGCATTCAGTTAGTCGGTTTTTAAAGTTCCGTTCAACTGAATGCGTAGACAATGGGGGCCGTCATTTGTCCGATGTCATCTCTAAAACTATCTTATACAAAAATCAGGTAATGTCTTTTTTCATTTATATTATGATGATATCGTTAGTAGTTTTTTCTTTCATCGAGATTTCGAATTAGGAAGTTTCCGAGAATCACCATGTATAAATGTTTAAAAGATGGGGGTCACTATAGTCAATGTAAGTCAAATAATAGACTATTTGAACCACCATTTGATTTATGATACAAATCGATGGTATGTCATGTCATTTTCTTTTGACAGCATTAGATCTCTGCTGTGATCGGGTACAATTTCCTAAACGTATTCATCGTCTCTGAAGAAATTTATAATTTTAATTAATAGATTTAGTTTATTAACCAAACTATTTGGAACAATACCACTATTCTCTTAGAGGTTGTATCTACCTGTACACGTTGAATTTGCCATTAGGAATGACTATTGTGATAATTATTGTTGGCCACTGGTGCAGTCGCTTGGATCGTTATATAGTTGATTCCACATTCAAAACTTTGACTTTTTTATTATAAATATGTATGAACAAGGCCCGAATGAGGAAAAATGGAATTTTCCACTTAATTTTTTCACTTAACTCAATACTTTGTACATGAATGTGAATTTATTTCAATATCTCTGAAAGCAGCTGAAAGAAACAAATATTTCTCTATGACTTCTATGAAACAACTCTGCACTGCATTGGGCTTGGCCAACAATTCTATGGAATCAATCATTGGTGCAGCAAAGCTGTGGCAGGATTGCCTAACTTCTTTGATCTACAAGTTACATTTCCTTGGAGCTCGAGCACGGCGGCGGCGGAACCACCACCAGCCTAGCTATCAAACTAGTCTTAGTTGAAGACGTCCTGTGTTTCCTCGCAATAAAGAAGTTTAAATAATAAATATTAGTTAGGAACATTTACTCATATGAAATCACAAGTATCTGAATAATGGTATCATTAATGAAGTGGGTGGTTTAAACATAAATAAAGTGCTGTCCAAATTTCATAGCATTTATCATACGTGACCGTGGTAAGTTAATGGTAATATATTTAATTCACCAACTAACACATATCGTCTGAAAATTGTACTGTACAGAGATGCAGATTAGACGATGAAACCCATTCGCATCCAACTGAAACGATGTTCGAAATACGAGCTTACTTTTTATCAATGGGTGGGAACTAATCTATTCCGGTTATATTTGAAATCCCTGCAGATTACATACTTCGCTCACTAACCTTCGTCTGCATCCGTGGGGCGTAGAAGACTTATTCCAATCACAAGAACTACTAGGAAAACGTTATGACTTGTCATTATTTAGATATATTTAGGTTTACGATATCATTCACGAGCATGGAATAACACAATTTAATTTTATCTTTCTCAACGAATATCTGCACAAAAAAAATTAGGATTAGTGTTGTATTGAAATTTTTTCGACTGGCATTAATGTCAAATTAGAATTTCAGACTATACACTGTTGTAAAAAGTTTCATGAGTGAATGCAATGTTTACGTGACTATTATATATAACATTTTACAATGAGCGAAGAGGTAAATTTTTCGCTCTCAATAAATGATTTTGACTTTGTTCTTTTAACATAAAAAAATTGTTGTGCCCTTTGAGCCTTTGATTTTTATGCATGGAAAAATGGTTACTATTGAAATCTATTACTATTGAAGTCTTGTGGATGAAAATCGGGAGCCATTTATTTTCAATTTATTTTTTGTTGATAATTTTACTCTTTTATTGCAGTGTAGCGAAATTTATCACGAAGAGAGATGAATCTAAATATAGTAAAATTTCAAAACTTATTGTTTGCGAGAAACGATGTAGAATATTGCTTGAACTTCGAAAATATTACCAAAGATTTATGTAGCCCATTCTCACTCGGCAGGGTTCAAGCTGCATATAAGTTTCCATTTTTGAAACGCTCGTATTACAAGGAAAGTTGCAATTTAGCCGTAAAATCACCACATAACACTTTTCACCTATAAGCGATAAATTCAAATCCTATCAGGAGGCGGAATCACTCAATGCAACTCACGATTGAAAACTTTGAGACTGCCTAGCAATCTCTTATCGCAAGGCCTCAGCGATCTCTTTCAAAAGTTGGGGCACCAGAAGCGTTTTAGTCAGTTTTCAGTGGGACTTGAACACGAGCATTTTATTTCCGTTGCCAAGTTGCATCAAGTATTTCGATTGGATGCCGCCTGATAAGCTCAGTCATCGCTGGCCCGTAACGTGGTTTGCGTGATAGCCCAAAGCACTTCAGAAGCCGTCTAAAGTTTCAAGAGTTTCGTTAGATCCATTACGTTCGCCGTCAGACTCTCATGAGCCGCGTACATGACGTCCATTTAACTCCATAACGATATCTGCAGTCTTCTAGAAACTATGCGCATTTCAAATCTCTCTTGGAAAACTGCTGACATCCGATTCGAGCCGCAGATTTTTAGACGGTAGCACTAAAAATTAATTTATAAAATTCAGCATTAAATCATTCAACGTGGTTAGCTTACGCCTTCATACACGATGTTCGATGACTGGTGAATATTATAACACAATTCATGTTCTACCGTGCAACCATGAATAATAGTGAAACAAAATATTTTGCGATTACCAAAACAACCTAATTTTTCGTCAAGAATTAAGAGCACCATTTAAATTGTTTGTAGGTACATATGGTTTTATGATCTCCGGTCAACGTTGGTTTATAGGTTAACGACAGCAAAAATTACCTCTTTTCATCCACAGGAAAACTCCAGTTCTGACTCTTAACAATAAACTTTTTCCAAGCATTTCTTTCGTTGCGCGTTTTCTTTCGCCGACAGATGAAGGCAATAGATTGTAGTTTAGGGTACCCATGAACATCTGTTTCCGAGTTGCGATGGTCTCTAAACTGGTCATTATTGATAGAAGTAAGTTGTGGTGGCCCGTAACAACACACGGAATTTGTTTCAACTTAGCTGCATTGCCTGTAGTCACAACGAACGTAGTTCATTAGACCACAAGACATTGATAAACATCAATACCGCTAATGGTAACTTATTAATTTTGGTAAAAATTTCAAATTTTTAGACAATCATATTCATTAAATTGTTGAATGTTTATTTACAATTTATGGGGGGGGTGACCGGACGTTCCCTAAGTTAGCTACGACAGATGGCTGCCCAAAGTTTGCACGTCGGCTTATTATATTGTTAAATTATTATAACTTATTAAAAAGTTATTTAAAATGATTGGCAATACAAGCACCACTTTCCAGTTCACCACTGCAGTTTAAAAAACTTTAATTCCAATAGAAATATGGCACTTTAAAATGGGCATTCTACAGCTACAATTAAAAGAGGCACAAAGGTTGGCAAATAATACTTCGCTCAGAGGGCACACGGTGAGGCTATAAGCAGTTAATACAAGATCGGCATTTAATAGATATAGCGGCATTTAGCAGAGATCAGAGCTGCAACCCCGCTGATCGGCTAGCAGGACTGTCTCTCTTCTGAAAGGAATATCGCCTTCGTCACCTCTCTCTTTGCGACAAATCTTCCCTGAAATGGTTGAAAGTCTAAATTATCCAACCAGCTTTGCTGATAATTCATACTTGTATTATTTATCTCTAAGCTTAAATAAAATGAAATCAGTAAAAATGGTATAAAAAGACCAAGAACAATTTCCATTCGTTCACAGAGGACTTCCGAAATTGTACCGTGAAGGCTCCTTTTTTATTGCTCTATAAACAATTGTAAAGCGACGCCAATCACGCGGCGCTGCAATCTTCCAATTGTCGAAATAGGTTCTATCCGATCCGTTCACATTTTATAGCACCTATCCATTTTATGTTGCAACCTGATATAATTCTCACCCAAGACTATAATTCTTATACATCTCTTACTTGAAAAAAAGTATTAATGATCAAATTGAATCTCTAAGAGGCATTTGAATTATACTGAATTACATAATATAGTGCATTATGGCTCAAGTTGAATAGTTCTGACAGGGATATGGCTAATGACTTGATCATTGCCGGCATAAAAAGACAAGAAAATATCTGTTTATGAATGGACAGCGATTTCTGGGGTGAGCGACCCGCTACTCTCGTCCTACGTACAGATCGCTGAGTAAACTCGAACCGAACTGTAAACTCGTTTTTTTTTTGGTTTTCTATTTAATGTGTACGGCAGATAATTTCATTCATGTACACTGAAAAATAGTGTAGCAAATTTATGAGTAAATTGAAAAAGAAATTATCATAAGCGTCCGATAAATGTTTTGTATGATATAATATAAAAACATGATTCAAAATTTTATATGCTTCAAACTTTATATATTTAAATTTTAGCTATCTCAAATGCGCTAGTTATTCCAAGTTAGAGAATTTTATTTTTTTAATTATTTACGAGACAGAAAACTCATGTGGAAAATGAGGATGTGGACTCGTGTCATGTGGAGGAAGAGGATGCACTGTATGCTGAACTGCTCAGTTCTCTGGCATGGATGCACTCGAAAACTTCATGCAAAAGCTTCATACGGATTGAGTTCACTCGAGAGGACGACAAGCCTTGGTCCTGAGCATTGCCTCTGACGTGCGGCAAACAGATGGAAATTGCTGCGACGGATCACTAGGAAAGAGACTCTCCGAACGCGGCACTCGCAAATGTTTGCCGGAGATTTTTAGCTGCATCTGAGCTATGAAGTCATGTTGGCCGGCAAGCTCAAAAGAAACCTTAAAACTCAGAGAAAATATCTATTGAACGATGTAAATGCATGTCTTACAAATTAGTCATTAATTCGTAGACATGTTACGCTCGTTTAGCTCGAGGTAACCATGCATGCATATATACTGGGAATTTACGCTTCTTAATTACTGGTGCATCTCACCCGTTCAATTATACTTATTATTGATCACCGTTTCTGGCAGGTGATCAATATTTGAATCCATTTATTATAGTCCGTGATTGGAAATTTTGAAGTTGATTAAGTTTTCGAGGTAGAGCAATGAATGTTCTTGAGTCTCAGATTTTAAATTCAGATCGAGTAATTTTATCAAGCATGCTTGAACTAAGATAGTCACCAGACAGAAACATGTGTCATTGAAACTCAAATCGAGGAATGTTGACACGTAATTACAATTTTTAATTTGCATATTTTGCTCTTAAGATAGTTTACCTGATAAACTCTCACTACCAAAGAATACATAATTTTCTTGATATGCTTCAATTTCGTCAAAAGGATTCAGGAAAGCTTGACTCAGTTGAATTAGAAGAAATTTGTTCATGCTTCTCTCACTATTTTAAAACTTGTAGGTACTGAAATGAATGTTTGTTGTTGGAGTTGAACAAATTTAACATTTATCAAACAAATCGGCAACACATAAATAAAACGACGTTGCAAATAAACGTATAAATAAAACGACGTTACTCGAGCCTGGCTGAGTATTTTCCTTAAATCCGATCATCTCTATTTGCCTGACATTTTTCAACAGGTTAAATTCGAGTGAAAATACAACACTGTCGAGAAATGCAATTTTACTGGGGCCTGGAGAACCCCTGATCGAAGTCGTCGGGTATTATTTTTCTGCGGCGTCAAAGCTGCAGACATGTGATAGCTGCAATGTTTCTTGACGGCCGGAAATCTAACATTTTTTAAAAATCGATGTTGTAAATATAACGGAATGATGTATGATCATAAAATTAATTTTTATTGCTAAATAAACGATTTAACTAAAAGTATTATTTAATCTTGACGAATCCTATAAGCGATAAGATGATATTTCTGCCATATTTAATAGTTGTATTTGAAAAATTTGTTCAAATTATGATCTTGCCAGTGTCAAGTTTTGGTTAACTGTTGTATTTTTCAAGAAGCTTGAGACTTGATGCCATTAACAGAGATAAGAATTTCTTCGTCATCGTTGGGAAAAGTGTTATTACCCGAATATTAATTGTCAAAATCGCCTCGAATGTCTTTATTTTTACAAAGGTGCATAAAACTCGATAGTATGATTAATTGTAAGATAAGCATTAAGTAAAACTAAAATATGATTGCTCCAGTTATTTCATTTTTATTTACACCACAAAATTTTCACAACATGAAAAAGTTCAAAACTAACGCTGCGCTGTCTTCTTATCCGTAGGATTTGGGAAGACTTGTTGAGAAGCGATACATATTTTTAATACTTGCATGCGAGAATATGGATTGAATTCACGTTCACATCTTTAGGTTTATTCGTGGAATGGTTTAGATAGATAACGGTACTTCTATCGTAAAATGATTAATTATTTAGGCTATCACTGGTTAATGGTCACTAGAAAAGAAACA